AAAACATACATACAGCATAATCACTACCTTACCCTTCCCAAACCACATAAACAAACGAACTACGGGCTGCGCACCCGTGCCCTCACGGTAAGTCAATGTTTTGGGTCAATTTTCAGTCCAGGTGACAGCTATAATGACCCGGCATTCTATTCCGGTGAAAGACGATAGTGTGAGTATGGTCTCAGAAAGGCATAGGGCCTCACCACAGCACTCGCCAATCTTGAAAATAGGTCACGAGTTCTCGCCACCGAAGACCGGCCTCAAAAGCTCACCAAACGGAGGCCTCGCCGCTCACAACCTCACCAAACTTCTCGTCTCATAGGGTCGTGTCCAGACCTGTTGGCGGGGCTCGTAGAACACCAAATGACAGTCCAGACCGCCCATCTGGATGTGTCACACTGTCTCCTACTCACCATGTTGGCGTGTCTCGTAGACCCTACTCACCAGGTGGGCCCATCTGGATGTGTCTACTCACCAGGCGAGCACTCACCAAACTTGCGCCGAACTCCCCGCCTGCGGCAGCAGTTTGGGTGACTGGTTTCCGCCGGCAGCAGCAGCAGGGTTGGGTGAGTCCTCACCAATGATGCTTTTTGTGACTTTGACGGGAATTTTCTTCTCCTCGGTTATGGGCCTCACCACACCACTCCCGAATTCGACGTTCTCGGAAGTGAAAGCATTGCCATACATTCTCCCGAATCCGACCCCGGAAACCGAATTCGGGAGCTGTCGGAGCCAACTCCTGAGATGTGGTTCTTAGAGTACCCTCGAACGTCCTTCCGGTCCCCGCCTGCAACCAGTGAAATTCAGGAGGTCCATGAAGGGCCAATCTCGATTCAAAATTGGAGAGGTTTTGGCGTGTAGTGTTTAGGAGTGCTCTCGAATCCGGAGCGCCTCCCTTTTTTTTTTTTTTTTTTTCCCCTGGTCCACTTTACTGGGTGCATTTACGATTTCGAGAGTGAAGGCTTCCCCACACCCCTCTCCCCAAATTTAGGAGTGCCCGGTTTGAGAGCGAGTGTGGCGGAGGGCACTCTCGAAGGGCAGCGAGTCGGGAGCACTCCGGAATTCTTTTCAGGATCTGGGAGTGGTGTGATGAGCCCCCAATAGCCGGCCTATGTTCAAGGCAAGTCTGAAACAGCAGCGTCAAAATTGCTTCCTACCGTCTTCACCCGAATAGAACGCCCGGTCATTATAGCTGTATCTGGACTGAAAATTGCACCAAATACGGCTATAATTACCGTACGTTGTATTCGGACAAAGACGGTAGTAAGGGTACTGAATATATTGACTTCACATTTCCTTTCCCTTCCCTTCCAATTTGAAAACCATTTTATCAGGGGCCCAATGTCAAGGCTAAATCAAGGGCCCAAGCCAGGCAGGGCAGGGAAAGGACACACCAACTGCTGCATGTGGCCATCATGTGGTCCCCACTTGAGAAGAGGACGTTCAACGGCCATTTTGCGAAACTAACAATACTTTTCCTTTAACAGAACTGGGCTTTGTCAAATGCCCAATACTTTCCAGCGTACCGCATCCCCTATGGTCAGGCGTTCTGGGGATGCCACATGCTCAACGGTCCGGTGTCCAGGGGAGGATTTTCTACAAAACTCTGTTTTGTTGAAGGAAAGAATTGCTCAGCAATCATGCTCTATTCTAGTTGTATAGGGTAGCTGTTTCTATGGCAGCAGTGGCGGAGGCTCTTTCAGCCCTAATGGGAAGAGGCGTGTGTGTGTGTTGTATTCAATTCGACAATGAGAGCCTTGGGCACTGGGCCCTTATTCAAAAAAAAAAAAAAAAAAAAAAAAAACTGTTAGTTTTGGCGAAATGGCTGTTGAACAGCCTTCTCAAGTCGGGACCACACGGCAGCCACATGCAGCAGTCACGCTGTGTCCTTTTCCTCTCCTGCCTGGCTACCGACCCCTTTTCCTGACTTTGATTTAGCCTTGGGCATCTGGCCCCTTTAGTAATAGAATATTTTTGGAATTGGGAGAGAAAGGAGAATAGTCAATATATTTGGGCACTGGGCCCCCTTCAAACCACCACTACCTTTCGAAGGCAAAAGGGAAGTCTTGAATATAACCTATACCACATTTTTGGGAGGCCAGGGGCCAAGTCCCACATACACCCTTGAGCCAGTTCAACGTTGAACTACAGTCTTCCCCCGAACACAACGTATGGTCATTATAGCTGTATTTGAGGTCTCTTTCAGTCTAGATACAGCTATAATGACCGTACGTTGTATTCGGGGGAAGAAGGTAGCTCAACATGTGCGACCCCACACGGCGTCTGAGATGCATAGGGAGCTGCACATCCAGCGGTTGTTCTTTTCTTAGGTGTATAAAATACAAATACTTTGGTTTTTGTTTTTTGGTTCAAGAAAGGTACTGAGAAATCCCTCTGCCCGAATACAACCCCCCCTACCCTGCCCATCTTCTGTTGAACTACATACCCCACTTCAAGTGGGGTATGGATTCAACGGTGCTTGTGCCATCATGACCTTCTGTGGGAGGACACTCTGACAGCCGTGAGAGGACACTCTGACAGTCTGTGGCAGGACACTGACAGCCGTGGGAGGACACTCTGACAGAGAGTGTTCATGCTGTGTTTGGCTGTGTAGCCCCAAACTCATTTCTGTGAATGCACCAAGCCAGGAGTACTGTATATGTTCATTTCATGTTCTAGCGAGTCCCTGTCTCCGATGTTGCGTAGTATGCGGAGCCTTTCACTGAGGATTGTTGTACTTTTTAGAAATACGGACAAAGATTTCAGTAGCATTTGGTTATTCATTGTTTTTTGGGAAATAGGGGAAAAGAAGCTTTCAGTAGCATTTGATTGTCCTTTTTTGAAGCTTTTTTTTTTTTTTTTTT